CATTTATGGCTGTTAAGGGAACTAGCAAGGGGACCAATGAGTCATCTGGAAAAAGGCATTTCTGAAAAATGAGTTTTCTTTACTTTTGCTTAGAAATTATTCAATCTCTTAATATCTAAAGTACTGGGAAAATTATTATTTGTTTACATGGTAACCAGGATGAGGTTTATTGAAATTGTTATTTATATATTGAAAATTAGATTGATTCTAAGAAAGTGCATCATTCTGATCATAATATCTAACTAATTTGAAAAATGCTGCATAGTTTGTGATTATGGTCATATTATTAATAGCCATTTTTGTCACATAGAAAGGATACAATAGATGCAAATCTCTCTTTAAAAAAATATGCACTTGTTCAGACCTGTTCAAAAGGCCATAGAAAGTATTTTCAGTTTTTCTTAAGTCCCAAAGATGAAATTCCCCACTTTCAATAAGTTCAGTTCAATATTTCTATTTTGTATATTTATATTACTTCTATATTACAGTTTTTGTAAACTGTAGACACTTGATGCTGTCTGAGTACTTTGTCTGAAAAATTTAAACTGTAGAAGATCATGGTGATAGAATGTGAATGTCCACATCTTCACAATTACAACTTAATGTTTATTTTGTGCCTTTGAATCAATCATGGGTCCTATGCCATTATCTTGGCAGAATTTTTTGGAATTGCCATTGCCTTATTCCTAGGGCTGAGAAAGAGTGCCTGGAACAAAGCCATCCAGCTGGGTTTGTGCCAAGGCAGGACTAGAACTCACAGTTGCCTGGTTTTTAGCCCAGTACCTCACATAGCCTGGTGATCTCTAATTTTTATTATGCCATACCTATCTATTTCTACTAGGTGGCAGCACCTAGTTAACTTTGACTAATTTTGAGAAGTTATGGGGTCAGACCTGATTAGTACTTGAATGGGAGAAGAAAATTCCTGGGCTATAGGGTAGACTAGGAAGTTAAATTCAAAGAATGGATGATAGTATGCTAATGCAAGCATGAGGAACAGCCTATAGATGTGTATCTCCTATGAAAGAATGCCATGGGGAGTGTGGGACTTCACTTTTTCTTCTGATGGAGAGTTGGATTCCAACCATATTATTTGTGGATGTACTGTATAATTTCTCTGTTAGGAGCCACTACCTCATTATTTATTTATGTGATCGAACTCTTAGAATTAAAATAAAACTTGGTCCCACAAAGAAGTGTAGATTCCCATGATGGAAAAGTGTCTTCTGGTATAGATGTGTTTATCTAATACAGACATTTTTTTTTTTTTTAATAAAAATGTCCTAGAACCATTAGGAACGGATTTTCATTGAGCGTAGACAGCAGTTCATTATGATAGCATCTAGTCTGTACCTCCAAATCAATATAATAGTTTTTGAATTAACTATTCACCTATTTCTTTATTGGATAAACTATTTCTTTATTGGAGGATAGGTGTAATAAAAGGTTCATGACCTTTTTGTCTGGAGGGGAAATTCTAAATAGATTGAATATATCAATTCCGAAAACTCAACCAATAGAGTTTTCTTTCCAGTCTCAGTACTCTCACTTTTCAAACAGATCTGTGTAAGAGGTATGGTTACCCAGTGCCCTCTCCCTTATATTTAATCCTCTTTTCACAAGACTCTGCTCTCTTTCCTGGTTCTGTGCTTGTCTTTGGCTCAGCCAGTATAAATCTTTCTTTTTCCCCCATGGCTCATTGGCAAATCTAGGCAAGAGCAACCAACAGAATATGTTTATCACTGAAAGCAATGCTGAGCATTAGTCCATCCTACATACCCATTTGGATGCCTACACCTCTACTCAACCAGCAGATGTTTTCCACAAGTGGATGCTTACATCTAACTAATTGAAATTCATTGTCTGTCACTTGATTAATTACTTTGATTGGTGTACTTCTGCTTCAAAGCTGGCAGAGGTTAATTACTCTGAGTAGTCCATAATGAGAATTTCCAGAACTCTGTGTAAAGACAATTTAATTATGCAGCCTACAAAGGACAGTCAATAACTGCTGAACAACTTCACAAATGATGGCCATGGTACATAAAAGAATAATGCCTGAATTTTGAGGTACAGACGGGATGCTATCATAGTGGATTGCTGTCCAGGCTCAGTGAAAATCTATTCTCTCTGGTGCTGGGAAAGTGATTTCTGAGGTGCACTGTAATAAATGGCCTGATAGTAATTTAGTAAACACTTTCATAACCCATAATCTGCAAAAAAGTCAATAGCAGTTTCCTGACCTTTTCATTATTGTACTTCTTCACCTTCAGAAACAGTTTAAAAGATTTCATTCATCACTGTGAGGAATATAACACAGAACTTACAGCTGTTTGATTTTCCTTCTGTTGTATCTGATCTCACCCTGAGGTAATAGTTATGTACATATGTCTTGCTAAAACAAGGATTTTTTTTTTAAAATAACACTTTTCTATTGCCTTTTGGCAAATGTTTCAGCCTCCAGATACTGTTTATAAGAAATCAGCTCAAGAGTTATGCTTCCCAGTGATGAATGTTTATTGCTACCATGTGAAGATTGTCTAACCAAGTAGCATTCTCTGCTCTAATCCTTTCCAACGTCTTCAGTAGACAGAAAAAAATAACATGTCTGATGTTTGTGTGTGCATGTTATTTTTAAGGAAATAATAACATAATTGATTTTTCCAGCTTTAACAATTGCATTGGCAGATACACATTTAACACACTATTTTCCCATTCCTTTTGAGTGGTGCCAACCATCACTGAACTATCTCAAAACTTACATGGAGCCTGCAAACATCCAATCAGTTGTGGTTTTGGTCAAGATTCCAGCAAGGACTGATGGCAACAGATGTTGCCGGAGATGCTGGAGTTCTAAAGACTGTACACTTCATATACTGTTGCATATGTAGGAATATAACTCTTGTGGAATTCCAAGTCTGAAAGCACCTTGCAGATCTGTCATACCTGGACAGCATTAAGTTAGGAAGACTGTGTTGGATCCTGCTAGACAAAATACTTGTCAGGTTTCTCCCAGAAGGCTAGGTGGGAATCAATTAAGCATGCAAACAAGAATTCAGGAACTTTGGATAAATAGTTTTATTATAGAAAAGCTAATAAGCCATTTCAAAGGAATTCCAATGACTGCTGTATATTCAATATGAGACCAAGTTATAGTGAAATTAATGTTCAAATTCTTATGTCTCTTTCTTCCGCACAAGCTATGCAATGGTCTGGAAGGCCCTCTCTTTTGGGTGGGTGACCCAATTTCCACTGCCTTTTGTTAATAGACAGTTCTGATATCAGGTTGCGTTCCTCTGATCGTGTGTGAACTCATTCTGATAATATTATAGCTGAGTTCATAGTATAATGAACTCCAATAGGCATCTAATATATTATTCTTAGCTCAGGACTACATTTTTTTTCAGATATTCAAATTCTATTAAGTTGGTGCTCATTGAAAAAGGTGAGACTACAGGTGTTTGAAAGATTTTGGAGAAATTTCTGACATGTTCTGAAAGTTAAAAACATTTTCAATACAAAGTAATTTAATATTAATAGAAACCATATGATATGTTTTAGTGCAAGTTAGAGATTTGGGCTACTAGTATTTCATTTAAAAAGCACTGGCTCCCTATAGATTTAGTTTTTATCTGTTCACTGTTGCAATTTAAAAATTAAAGACTTAAAAAATTCTTCTACTTTGTTAACAAAGCATGCCATAGTTTGACATTATATCTTAAAGTATTTATTACTGTCTCTCATGATCATTTTAAAGGAAGAAGATAAATAGAAAAAACAAGTTAGTTAATTGGGCAGCTTTAAAATGAATCAAATAAAACCTGAAATAACAGAGATAATTTTTGACTAAGCACATTTTTTGTCTCTGCTTAGGTTCCTCTCTTCCAGATATAGTGTCTAAGATGGACACAGCAGCTAGTTTGTAAAATATTTTGCTACATTTACAGTTCATCTAAATAACAAATACAATAGGAAGTCTGAAGTTTATGTTTTATTAGTTAACAATTTTATTGATGTTATTTATTGATTATTTTGTTCATTGTAATACTCCTGTTATCAATCCTGTGATATTTTAATGAAGAGATAACACAAATAGATGATGATGATGATGATAATAGCAGCAACAATTCTTGGGTCAGAGTAAGGCAGTAATTAAGGATCTAACTTGTTTTTAAAGAGAGAACCACAGCACAAATAATGTGTGTTACGTGTAGCCACCTGTTTATGGAAAGGCATCATTATGGGGGATAAAACTTTATGTAGTCCATTAACTTATTTCCTTAGTGACCTCTCAGGTATCTATGGCATGTCAATCAGGACATGCATGTAGTAACATATCCCAATGTATTTCCAAGAAATTAGTAGTGAGGGAGGTGATGGCTTTGTATATGGAGGTAAGATATATCAGTCATGACTACAGGTCACTATATTTTGCAGATACTTCTTATGTTTCCTGAATGTTGACCCTAGATTACAGCATCGTCTAGGGGTCTGAACCTTGGCTATTCTTTAGCTGTATTTTTCAAATCAGTTATGCACATTGTCTTTTATAAGAGGGAGTTGGAACTAAAGAAAACCTACCTAAAACAAAAGAAAAAAAAATCAAATCGTGCAATCTGATTCTTGTTTAACACTGCAGCGTATGGTGCAATGTACATATTTGAGCAAAATCTTATTACTAGGTGGATAGAATAAAGGATAATTAAGTGAACTATCTCAAAGAATTTCTTAGCTGGTTAGAGAAAACACATATGTTTATCACCAATAAATAATATAGCAGCTTCAGCTGTAATACCATATTACTGTAGACTCCTTTTGCAAACTCTAATGAAGTTAATTGTTTACGTGCAAAGACCTGAATGAGGCCTATGTCTGATGGTGGTCTAATTACAGAAGTTAAGCTTGGAGGAGCAGTCTTGGTAATCTATATGTCTAGATCCTTTAGAATCCTTGGGATCCTACATGATAAATTGCTCACTGGAGTTTTGAATTTCTAGTAGCTAAGCCCAGCTAGGCTGCCAGCAGCAGAACAATCTCTTAAATGTACTTCTCAGTTCCGGGCTTCGAAATGCATAAATCATGGGATCAATAACAGCATTAAACATGATTAATATACCATTCACATGAAAGATGGACAAATAGCAAACACAGTAAGGGTTTTCAGGGCAAAAACGTATTAGAAGCATGTGAAGAACAAAGGGAGCCCAACAGCAGAGAAAAACACCAAGTAATAGTGTTAATGTAATGGCTCCTTTCACGCTAGCTCTCTGGTGGACAGAACTTGCAGGCATCAAGGCAATCTTCATGGCGTGGGAACGGGCAAGCAGAAACATATGGATGTAAAGGCAGAGGTTAAAAATGAGCATAAAATAAAATAGAGCACTGAAAGATACAATAGTGGCAATATCATGGGAGAAAATCACTACTGCTATGCTGCTCCCAGCACAGAATGCCCAAATTACTAGCAAAATCAGTAAAGCACGCCTTTGAGTCATGATGTTATGGTAACGCAGCGCATAGAATATAGTGATATATCGATCAGCAGCAATGGCCAAAAGACTAAAAATCGATCCCAGTAAAGATAAAATAAATATGAAATCTACAATATCATCCAGAGTTGTTACCATTTTTCCACGACATGGAAGGTGTCTCATTTTGCAAAATATGATATATAAGATGTTCTCCAGAGTCTTGGACAAACTTCCTAGCATGTCTGAAACAGCTAAACTGCAAATGAAAATATACATGGGGGAATGCAGATTCTTATTCCTCCCTACTGCAATAAGCACTAGCAGGTTTTCCAGGATTCCTACTATAGCAATGGTGAAGAAGATTTCCTCTGGCACAGCAATTGTCATACAATCGGAGACGTTCAGAGATTGCTCACTGTTGTTTTCAAAGACATGAATGCTTGTCTGCTCCAGAAGTCTTATTATTTCGGAAGCTGTGTTGGTCTTCATCTTCTTAACCTTTTTGATTTGGTGGTGGGGGTAGGGGTGGGTGGGTAGAGAGAAATGCATGAAAATTACTCACTCTGCCTTGATTACATAACTGCAAATATGTCAAACTGAACGTCTTATTATGGTGAAATCACTTCAGCTGGATCTGGGAGAATTGCTACAAGGTGATCGATTAGTAATTGCCCTCCTCATACATTATCCGTGAACAGAGAATTGCAATGTATACTGGGGTATGGAATGGCCTGCATCTCATCCCTAAGAGCACAATGGGATGCACACACAGCTGTATGATCCTCCCCACTTGACCTCACCTTCCCACGTAAACAAAAAGTTTGAAAAAGATTGTTTTATCTGGATTCCAAATTTCCTGGACTCATCTAGAAGCATTCAGCCGAGTGCTTGTATGAACCCCCTTAAGACCTTCCCATGCAATCGAGAAAGATCAAAGTAGAAAAGATGAGTTTGGGATATAGCTGGGGCTGCAGCTTTCTTATGAGACACCAGGATTAGAATGAGTTTATAAAAAATTACTGTGAAACAGATAATTGCATTCTGGAATCATAGATATTTGTTCTTAGCTGCAGTTAGATGGACTCCTTTAGTCCCAGCTGGGTAGAAGCAATGGAAGACCAACACAAGGCATTCACTGCTGGGTTTGTTTATATCTTATATTTGGATGAAATAGATTATTCTGCTGTAACCTTTGGACAAAATATATACACATTTGAGTTGTCTTTGTCACTTAGAAGTCTTTTAGCTATTTTGACAGTAGGCAAATGTTTCCCTCCAAGGTTTTCTAGTAAGCAGAGTGTTTTGAGTACTACTACTACTACTATATTCTTCTCTTGCCAGTAGATTGGCAGAAAGATATCATTTCTTTCTCTCAACAAGATCTTACAAATTCAAAAAAAAAAAAAAAGATCTTACAAATTTAATTTCAGAGAAAAAAAATCCTTACTGAATAAGGCTGTCATATTCTGCAAGATAAATAAATGAGAAAGATAAAATATATGGGATAGACATAAATAATTTGCTCTAGATAAAATATTTTCCCCAGTACAATAGGATGGCCGTCTACCTAGAAGAAAGCCTTGCTGGGTTCCATGGGACTAATGTCACAGTGAATCTAGAACTTTAAAGTCTCCCTTGAATTGTGCTCAACTCTTGGTGATTTGGACACATTTTGGGGGGATTGAGGGAGAGTTATTATAGAGGTGGTTTAACATTGGCTTGTTCTGCAATGTGTTTTTGACTTCTGAGTCTATATAACTCTGATATTTCCATATGTATGATCACTCAGAATTAAGCCAAAATGGATTTGAAGGGGCTTACCACATTTTCACTATGTATAGATTTGAAACTATGCATTTTATAAATCTTTTCCTTCTTTCTTGGCAAGCTTCATTTGCCCCAAAACATTTCTTAATCATTCAGACTTCAGGGCTAATTATATCTTTAGACACAAGTTAGACAAATCCTGAAGCTACTATAGGACTGATAATGTATTTATTGCCACATAAACTGTCAATATTGCTAGTTTTCTATATGCTAAATATCAGATTTGTAAATACTGATGCCTTCAATTTAGGGACGCATTTGCTAGAAGCCCAAAGGCCAGCTTTAGTCAATTAAAGCAATTAAGAAAGAAAATGTAAGAGGAGTATAGACTCCAAATCTCAGGAATTAATTGTCCCACCCTACTCAGTTTTGGTCAGACTCATCCAACTTAGTATATTTATGGTGAAACTGCAAGGGAATATGCTTAATTTATTCTCCAACATATTTTTTCTGGGCAAAAACCACATGCGTTTTGTTTATTTTAAAAGACTTATGTAGCTGCCCATATTGTAACACCAACCCTGAGCGGTGCACAAAACAGTAAAAACAACAGAAGCCCCCAAACCATAAAATAATAACAACAACAAAAAAACATTAATCACTCTATTAGAATCCTGGAAGGGTGGGTGAGAAGGTAATAGAGGGGAAGAAATTGCAATGAAAAATAATTTAAAAAATCATTTCCCATTCTGCCCCCCAGGGGGGTCTATAGCAGAGCATGACAAGTTATGGCAAGCCCCATCTCACAACGACATCACTGCACAAGTGCCTGCTTCACATGCTTGCATGGGGATACCACTGCAACTGCAGAGTTTGGGTACCGTTGCACTGCACCTGCTCAGACACAGCAAAAAGCACATTTTGTTCCTTGCTTGTTGGCAACAAAACAGGCCTGATGCCCTCCTCCCTGCATTCATGTAACAGTTGCTTTATAGGATTTTCCATGGACAGGTCAAGGACCTCCTCATAATGATGCCAGTGGGACAAGCCATTTTGGAAAGCAGTGTGACTTAAGTGTAATAAAATCATTTTCAGTGTGCCTTAATCCCAGTAAAAGAGCATGACCCAATGCCCGCCCCCCTTCTGATCCATCAGAGACGTGGCTGCTTAATAACATCAGAGCACTCCAAGCAACTCAGTAACTTGCCAGAGATGGATCAGCAGAGTAGAAGGGAGAGAAGAAAAGTGGAATATCTTCCCCTCCCTGCCTTTTTAGATGAGACATGGGAAGGAATTGCGGCCAGGAAAATATTTTTTCTCCTCTGGGCTGGGGAAAGGATAGGAGAGAAGCAGGGATTTGAATCCTGAGAATCTTCGGCCTTTTCTCATCTGCTCAGGTTTTGCTTCTCCATTCCTGTTTTCCAACCTCAAGAAAGATAGGAATGTCTGTGAAAATAATGCCCCTGTAGGAATTAAGGGGGAAATCTGACAAGCATAGGCCTATAAACTGAAGATACCATAATACTATACGAAAAGGGGAGGGCAGTTTTAGAAATATTTTTGGTTGAGGGAGAAGAAATCTTGAAAGACAATATTTGTCTGTGTCTGAAAATGAAAATGAAAAGGTGCCTCTTCTTTGAATCCAGGGCAGTTGGTGACTCAGAAAAGCTTCATGACGAGAAGCCAGCAAATGACTTCAGGCCAAATTATTCAGCAGCTGCTTGTTGGAATGAAGCTAGTTGAAGCTGCAGTTCAGCTGGATTTGAAGAGGACAACTCTGTCAGGCAAAAGGTTAATTACATATTTTTCCCCTGCATAGGGACTCTTTCTCATAACTGTAATAGATACAGTATTTTTGTGCTCAGTTCAAATTAATGAGGAAAAAAACCTGAAATACAGAAAACAAGTGGACATTAAAAAGCAGAGGATGGTAATTGTATGGCGCACAACTAGAAATATACACATTCCTTTACCATTCTAAAGATTTCCACATCTCTAAGGAATGATTCTACTGGAAGCATTTTAAATTATACCATCATGAGACCACACTATATAAGAACCCTCACAAAAATGAGTGTTCTGAGATCATCATTCAAATAAAGGGCAATTGGCAACTTCATTTATTAGTGTCTCTAGTCTATAGTGAACCAACGGGTTCATTATAGCTAAGACTGCATGAAGCAATTCATTTATGGCTCAGTATGGAGGGAAATAGGAATGAATATGGCATTCACATATCCTTTTTAGTGAGTATTTATGTGCAGGAATGCCCACAGATGTCCACTTTTGGGATCTCTTTAGTCCCCTTTGTTTGGATAGTACATATAAAGCAACCAGGGCTTCTTCTGATGTGCGAGTACAGAAACTGGGAAATGTGGGAGTTGTAGTCCTAAGGCATCTTGAAGGTGCCAAATTAGTGAAAGGTGGGGGAAAGCACAGTACATAAAGATGGTTTTGAGTCTGAGGCTTGCTTCTGTAACAAGATGGATGTAATATACACATTTAAGTCAATGAATACCTTACCTGAACATTCGTATGATCAAACAAATGGAGAAATCATCATTTTTACTCATTTGTATATGAACTGCAAATGTTCAGGACAGTTGTATTTTTCAAATATTTATTACAGAGAAATAAATAGTCATGTAAACAGTGTTCAGGTGAAAGTGAAAGGCCAGACTGGCACTTGGTATGTCGGCTGAACAGTTGCTGCAGCTACTGCAATAACTTCTGTTTTTCATGATTTTCCATTAATGTAGATCTAATCTCCCACAGGAACATGAAAATCAGGCAAATTTATGACACAACCTTGGAACCTCGGCTGATCTTGAAAAATTAAGCAAGGTTGGACCTGCTTAATATTTGGAAAGGAGATAACTAGGAAATAGCAAGCCAGTAAGCTACACTGGGATGTCAGAAAAGCTTTCTGGAAGAAGGCAACGGCAGGACACTTTCATATGGCTGCCAAGAAAACGATGTGATAATAGTCTCTAGGAATTCAGCTGTCCTCAAGGGAATCCTTACCCTTATCTTGTAAAGTATCCACATATTTGCTTGCCATAATTTTTTTACTGACATGATTTTATGCATGTATTCATAAACCATGTTTATACCTCATAATTCTTTTTGCTGGCTTGATTTTATGTACGTACTATAACCCATGTTCTCTGAAATTTAGTGTCCTCTTCAAATGAGCAATGTGATCTTTCCCCAATAAGAAGATTTAAGATTGCAGTAAAATCTTATGAAATGAAGACTGCTTAGGAAGAATGATGTTTGGTAGCCATGACAACTAGCAGATGGCTATGTTTGCTCCTTTGTCTGCAGCAAATTTGTCCAGTTACCTAGCACCTAGTTTCTCCAATGATTTTCCAGTCCCTCCCTCAGAGGAGCTCTCAAACATCTGATTCTCCCTGTGCTACAGATCTTACTGGCAACCCACCTCCAGTTTTCTGAAAGGAAAGGTATATTTTTTTTTTAAATGCTGAGAAGCAGGTTAATTTTTAAAACAATCACTCAATTGTGCATAATCCTTATTGTAAACTTATTTACTTGTAAATAGATCCCAGGGGTTTTCAGTAGAACTTTTTCCAATCACGTTTTAGTGATCTTAGAGCAAAGTTACTAAGTGGAAGAAAGAGAAGAAAATCGAAAGTATTCCCTTCTTCCTGAAAGAAACCCAGCCTGTAGGGACAGCCCAAGAGTTTTCCACTCCAGAGAAA